TTTTTTTTTTAATACTGAGCTTTACTGAAACAGGATGCTAGTGCCAGGTACCACGATTGATTAAAAATAAGCCTCTAATTCTTACTAGTGGTCAGCTGAAGGATGAAGGTGATAGCAATCTCGGCAGGATGAACTCATTGAAAGGAGCGTTACAAACATGTACACGGTACTGTTGCAAATCACAGGGTAAATTGCCCAGGCAGGTCAGGAATTGTGTCTACATTAATTTAAATCCTCTCAAAACTTTTGGAAGGGATTTAAAAATCATGAGTTTGGCTTATATTAATAACTGGTTCACTTACTGCTTTTTTATACATTTTAATTTTAAGTCACTACATATCAGCTCTATTCCAAGGAAAATTCCATTTCCATTTGGATTCCATTGTGAAGTATGTCAGACTCGAACATTTAATAAACAGTATCCATTCAGAGATTATTTTAGAGACCCTATATCTACACCGATATTTTTTAAAAATTTGGGTGTGAAGGTTTTTGTGTCTGGTTTTTCTCTTTCAGAGACTTTTTCTTCATTCTGTCCAAAGACATGCATCGTACACTTACTCAACAGTGACTTTAAGTCTCACTTCTGTGTGTGTCATTTGGCAAAAATGGACATATATATATATGGGACTGGGTCTTGCTCTGTCACCCAGACTAGAGTGCAATGGTGTCATCATAGCTCACTGCAACCTCAAATTCCTGGGCTCAAGTGATCCTCCTGCCTCAGCCTCCCGAGTATCTGGGACTACAAGTGCACACCACCACGCCCAGCTAATTTTTCCATTTTTTTTTTTAGAGATGGGGTCTTGCTATGTTGCCCAGGCTGGTGTTGAAGGCCTGGCCTCAAGTGATCCTCCTGCCTCAGCCTCCCAAAGTGCTGGGATTCCAGGTATGAGCCACCTCACCCAGCCTAACTCATACTATTTAAAGACAGGATTGACAGAAAGAACAATATATCATAATAGCTGATTTATTCACAAGGCATGTCTCTTTTGACATTGATTGGGAGACTTAGTTTCTATCTGGAAAACTTTTTTCATTTTTGGTAATGTAAGCAGCAGATTTCAACACTTTGGGGAGATTACCCAAATGTCAGACCTGTTGCAGGTCTTTTGTTAGCAATATCCTCCTGGCCCTAGGCCAGCTTTCCTACTGAGGAAAAGCTCTTGATTACCATCACCAAAGTTTCTTCATTATTCTGAAAAGTTATAAATCTACATAACACCATACAGATCCAACACTGTCAGGGTGAGGACAGAACTTTGTTTATAGATGAAAACATTGTTTTTGGAGCTTCTTGGTTGATAGAACTAATCAAAAGCTGCCCGTATGACTATAATCCATTTATGGCACTGAATGGGACTTTAGTAATCAACTAATGGGAGATAAATGTACTTCTATCAGAGAAATTAAAACACAGATTAACCACTTAAAACTTCCCCAAAGAAACCATAAAGATAGTGTTAAGATGTCCTCTTAACTATTGGGTGATGTCCTCCACTTGGCTATGTCTGGTGCCCTGGGCTGTTGTTCGAGGCTCTCATTTCATGTTGAGAGGGCTAGGGTTAGACCACACTTGATGACCTTAATTTTGATGCATTTCGTAGTTCCACTCACATTTCAGCTCAATCACATTCAGAGTAACCCTAAGGAAACTGATTATGGAACACCTCTTATTTTCACCTTCTATGTCTGTCTTCCTTGCAACCATATCCCCATTCTGACTTGAGTTTGCCATCCATGAGGAGCTGATATAGCCTCCCCTGGTCACCCCCACAGAAATGACATGCCAGGCATTGTGTTAATCATATGTTCAGGGCGGACAAGAGAAACAGCCCCAGCTCACAGATTTTATAGTCTAGTGGCGGCAGTCAGACATTAAGCAAATAATTATAGTAAGGTGTGATGAAACTTAATTATAGAATTAGAAAAGTATGTTTTTGCCAAGTAAACATTACCATGGTTCTCCCAAATACACACAGATGTGGTTCAAGTAAACGTCCATGGTGACAATAGCTAACATCACTGTCAGCTCATTGTACTAGGACTTTTCTGTGTGTGCTAACATTTTTTTACATATATTTCCATATTCAATCTTGATTATAATCCTGAGAGGTAGGTATTACTATCCTCATTTTACAAATGAGGAAACTGAATCTCAGGGAGATTAAATCACTTTTCCCATGATGTCTCAGCTAAGTAAGTGGTAGAACCAGGCTTTAAGATCTGTAACAGTGATTTCAAACCCAAGCTCTTAACTGTCATGCCAGCTTCCTTTTATGTACACCTTAGCTAAGTAAAAGATTTTATTACTATAAAACCCAACCAATGCAATATATTTTTGGTTGTCATTTCAGAAAGATGTGAGTTTTCCTCTCCTCTGGCTCATTAAGTTCTCAGTGGCTCGAAGGCTCCAGGGAATGGAATTTTTTCTGAGTGCCCTCGGGCTGCCTTTTCACCCAAAACAAAAAGAGGTGAGGGTACTAATTAAAATCAGGGCATGTTGGAGCTGAAAGAGGAAAGAGCAGCCCCTCCAAAAAACAAAGAAAAAAACTATTTTAAC